TTGCGCCCAGGAGGCTATGCTGTCTTCTGGAAGTTTTTCGAACCAAGTCAAGCCTAGGTCACCCAGGCTTGATAGGAAGAGGATACACATCAAAGCCTCGTTTCGTCGATATACCACCATAACCTGGCGGAAGTGGCTTAGGTGCATGTAAGGGTCTGTCTTCCCTTCGTACGTGGTAAATTTAGGCTGGATGAAACCTGAGGGTAATGATGCGTTCTCAATCGCGGGAACGAACGACGAACTATGTAGTCTTGCCAATGCTTTATCTGTTGGTTCGTAGGCAAGGTGTGGTGTTGGTATTTCAACCTCGACGCTTCCATGTGTCCGAGGAGCCAGCCGCCGAAGGGCTGAAACTCTGTGTGGGTCGCATTCCCTAGCATCCTCCTTCTGTCGCGCCCTTTCTTCAAGCACAGTCCGTAAGTCGAGCGATCTGGGCAACTCCGTTTGCCTGGATGATGTATGGTGCGTGTGTGAGGGCTGATAGGTACTTCCCTCTGTGTAAGACCTTAATGATCTCGTTCTCTCAGACCTGGAGTAACGAGTTCTGGAAGTCCTTGATTGAGTGTCGCTCGTCCTAAGGCTTCTACTTTCTGCTTGCGATGTCGTAGTATGCCTACTACGATCTTCTGAGTGGCGAGGAGGCGCATTGCCTTTGGACCCCTCTCCTGTCGCCACCCCTTTTCCCTTGATCTGGCGCTTCATGGCCTCCATGTCCGCCGCCATCTTCCTTATTAATTCATCTTGCTCCTTCACGCGGTCCTCCAGAACTTGAGGATCAATCCTCAGCCTTTGTTTGTCAGGACTTCGTGAACGAGAGTGACGGGGGCTGTTAGTCCGCCTCCTCCCCCTTGCATCCCTCTTGGGATTTGTTTGTTGTGACTCCAAGTCCGCCATGGGAGGGATAAAAGGTAGGCCTTCGCGTCTTGTACCCCCCTCTGGTGTTTGTCCGTCGATGGCGGACTGCGGCAAATCTTCGTTGTGCGCCATTGTTTCTAAAGAGGAAAAGCTTGATCAAGAGGTTTTGTTCTAGTCTGAAATTCCCACAGACGGCGCCAATTGTACGAGCACGAAATATTCTTCCCGTATAATCCTGTTGATCAAGTCTGCGCTCCTCCGTACGTCGTCGCTTTACTCCCTGAAAACACAAACGTGAGCTAGCCGGCGGGTGTGTGCCGGATACCTCTCTGATGCCTAAGTCAGCAAAATAGACAAAGACAAAAAACTCTGTGTATTCGAGAATCAAAGTTGTGTGTTACCTCTCCAAAGGTGATGTTGTGAGCTTTTATAGGTTCCGCGTGGCATAATCCTAATAGGACTCTTACTCCTCCATGTAGAGTCCTTCTTGGATTCATACTCCTGAAAGATAATGCTTATCCTTCAACACCCCCCTCACTGCTTAAACCAAGTGAGATGATTTTTCCATGGTCGGACTCCAATATGACCGAGGTAAGCATAGCTATGCAAAGTCGCAGACTAGACTGGGATAACTCTACCTCGGTTCCTCCTATACAGACCACAACATGATTGGACCGAGTTAACAATTAGCATGGTTCCGACCGATCTAATACCACTGCGCCATGACCGGTATAACTTTTTAGTATGGCGACCGAGCTAATCGTAGCTCTTTGGGACCGGAATAACTTCAAGCCTCATCTGGACCGGAATAACTTCATGACCATTTTACTTAGTCCTTCGTACTATGGCCCATAACGGCCCATTGCCCAGCTCGGCCCAATTTTCTTATAAATTACCCTCTCAGTTTTTAGGTAATAAAATTTTTATTTTTTTTAGGTGCCATTTCAATTAGTTATTTTACTTTTAATATGGACCGTTTAGTGTAGAGGTATGCACGATGCGGTTTGAAAGTAAAATTATAAATCGAATGACGGATTAGCGGATTGATGGATTGTTAAATTGTGGTTTGAGCGATTTTGGACGGATTAGCAAATTGAAGGATATTCTAACTAGTTATTAAGTTTTTGCATAATATATAATATTAATTTGTATAATATCTTTCATATATATACCACACAAATTAATTTTACATAATAATTTTCATATATATAACTACTAATTTGTAATAAATGTCACATATTAAATATCTTTCACACTCATTTTTTATTTTGAAATTTCATTATAGGTTGAAAAATATATCTATCTATCTATACTATATATTAAGCAAAAGGGGGTTTTTAACCCTCAAGCTTTGTAAGAGCTCCAATCTCTCAATCTTAATTTCTTAATTTTTTGATTTAAAAAAAAAATCCTCAGCATTTATTGATTTGGTCAAAATTTCCTAACTAACATTTATTAACTTTTTCCAATCTACATGTATTTCCACATGCTTACAATTATTGATTTGGTCAACATCCCCTTATTAGTATTTAAAATTCCCTCATACAAATAATTATAGATACAACCTGTGTATAATTACTGTAGTACCCTTTACAACTTCTCCTATACACTATGGTTAGTGATAAGATTGTTAAATTATTTTTACAAAAAATCTTTAAAAAAACATCTATCTATCTATCTATACTATATATTAAGCAAAAGGGGGTTTTTAACCCCCCAAAACCTGTAGGAGCTCCAATATCTCAATCTAAATTTTTTAAATTTTTTATTTAAAAAAAAAACTCAGTATTTATTGATTTGGTCAAAATCTCCTGATCAGCATTTATTAACTTTTTTCAATCCACATGTCTTTCTACATGCCTGCATTTATTGATTTGATTAAAATCTCCTGATCAGCATTTAAAATCCCCTCATACAAATAATTATAGATACAACTTGTGCATAGTTATTGCAGTACCATTTTTAACTTCTCTCATATACTATGGTTAGTGATAAAATTGTTAAATTATTTTTATAAAAAATCTTAAAAAATGTAATTTATATATTAAAAAAATCTAAAACAAAAATAAATATTTATAATTATCTCATCTATGTATCTATACTATATATTAAACAAAAAGGGGTTTTTAACCTCCAAGGCCTGTAGGAGCTCCAATATCTCAATCTGAATTTTCTAATTTTTTATTTAAAAAAAAAAACTCAGCATTTATTGATTTGGTCAAAATCTCCTGATCAGCATTTATTAACTTTTTTCAATCCACATGTCTTTCCACATGCCTACATTTACTGATTTGGTTAAAATCCCTTGATCAACATTTAAAATCCCCTCATAAAAATAACTATAGATACAATCTGTGTATAGTTTACTGCAGTACCCTTTTCAACTTCTCTCATACACTATGGTTAGCGATAAGATTGTTAAATTATTTTTATAAAAAATCTTAAAAAACATAATTTGTATATTAAAAAAAATCTAAAATAAATATAAATATCTATCCCCTTATCAGCATTTATTAATTTTGTTCAATCCACATGTCTTTCCACATGCATGCATTTATTGATTTGGTTAAAATCCCCTGATACAAATAATTATAGATACAATCCGCATATAGTTACTGCAATACTCTTTTCAACTTCTCCCATACACTATGGCTAGTGATAAGATTGTTAAATAATTTTTATAAAAAATCTTAAAAAACATAATTTATATAAAAAAAATCTAAAATAAATATAAATATCTATAATTTTCCCGTGCATAGTACAAGTGATAGGCTAGTACTATATATTAAGCCAAATAGGATTTTTAACCCCTAGGCCTGTGGAGTTTCAATATCCCAATCTGAATTTTTAAAATTTTTTATTTAAAAAAAAAATTCAGCATTTATTGATTTGGTCAAAATCCCCTTATTAGTATTTATTAACTTTTTCCAATCCACATGTCTTTCCACATGCCTACATTTATTGATTTGGTCAAAATCCACTGATCAGTATTTAAAATCCCCATACAAATAATTATAGATACAATTCGTGTATAGTTACTACAGTACTCTTTTCAGCTTCTCACATACACTATGATTAATGATAAGATTGTTAAATTACTTTTATAAAAAATCTTAAAAATCATAATGTATATATTAAAAAAATCTAAAACAAATATAAATATATACAATTATCTCATTGTACGGGTACGAAATATTCTTCCCGTATAATCCTGTTGATCAAGTCTGCGCTTCTCCGTATGTCGTCGCTTTACTCCCTGAAAACACAAACGTGAGCTAGCCGGCGGGTGTGTGCCGGATACTTCTCCGATGCCTAAGTCAGCAAAATAGACAAATAGACAAAAAGCTCTGTGTGTTTGTGAATCAAAGTTGTGTTACCTCTCCATAGGTGATGTTGTGAGCTTTTATAGGTTCCGCGTGGCACAACCCTACTAGGACTCTTACTCCTCCATGTAGAGTCCTCCTAGGAGTCTTCCTCCCGAAAGATAATACTTATCCTTCAACACCCTCCTCACTTCTTAAACCAAGTGAGATGGTTTTACCATGGTCGGACTCCAATATGACCGAGGTAAGCATGGTTATGCTAAGCCACAGACTAGACCGAGCTAACTTTAGCTCGGCTCTTCCATTCACTGCTCTGACCCCGATTTCTCCCAGTGCTAACCATGGTATGCCTCGATTGGGATAACCAATACTGTGGTCCCGACCGGGATAACTTCATGTGTGACAACCGAGCTTACCGTAAGCCCTTTGGGACCGGAGTAACTTCAACCTTTTTTGGACCGGAGTAATTTCAAGCCTCTTTTGGACCGGAGTAACTTTATAGCCTTTTTACTCAGCCCTTCGTAATGTGACCCATAACGGCCCATTACCCAGCTTGACCTAATTTTCATATAAATTACCCTCTCACTCATGCATAACACGGGTGATGGGTAAGTATGTATTAACTGTAGAAGAGTGAAATAATTTTAAAAACGAATTATAAATTTTAAAGTTTAAGCTGCAATTAATAGATATAATAGTACAAATTGATACAAATTGATATAATTTTAATAAATTTGACGATATTTTACACGGCCTTGGACCATTAGTGTAAAAACAAAACAAAAACAAAAAAGTTGGTGAAAATTAAAGTTTGAACAATCACCCGCAATTTCCTAAACTGCCACGCTCTCTACCCTCTGCTAGAAGAATTGAACTTCTCAACGACCCGTTCTGAGGACTCCACTTCATGAATGGCGTTCTCACTCCCAACTTCTTCAAACATTCCAACACAATCCACCTCAAGAAACTCTCAATTCTTCTACCCAAACCCACCAACACATTCACTACCACCACCACCACCACCACCACTACTACCACCCAATTCACACAGATTTCTCTTAATCAACCACTCACCTCCCTACAATGTGGAACCATGTTACAGTCACTCACCAACTCCAAATCCTTCAAAAGAGGCCAACAACTCCATGGTCACATGATTTCTTGCTGCATTCTTCGAAACAACACCTATCTCAACACCAAACTCGCCGCCTTTTACTCGAATTGTGGTGCCATGTACGAAGCCCAGGTAATCTTTGACCAAATTGTATTGAAAAATTTGTTTTTATGGAATTCCATGATTAGGGGATATGCTTCCAATGGTTATCCTATGAAGTCCCTTGTTCTGTACCGTGAAATGATGAGCTTTGGGCAAAACCCGGATAACTTTACGTACCCGTTTGTTCTAAAGGCTTGTGGTGATTTGGGTGATGATATTGGAAGAAGAGTTCACTGTGAGGTAGTTGTTTGTGGGTTGGAGTCAGATATATATGTATGTAATTCTCTTCTCTCTATGTACTCGAAGTGTGGGGAAATGGACATGATGAAGAAAGTGTTTGATAGAATGCCTGAGAGAGATTTGACTTCTTGGAACACGATGATTTCGGGTTGTGTGAGGAATGGTGACCCAAGAGAGGCCTTTTTAGTATTTAAAATGATGGAAAAATCTGGGCTAGTTGCAGATGCCACCACTTTGCTCGGATTACTCTCTGCCTGCATTCACTTAGCAGCATTGGAACTGGGAAAAGTGATCCATGCCTATGTTATGCGTAATAATTTAGCTTGGTGTAATAGTTTTCTGATCAACTCTCTGATTGAAATGTATTGTAGTTGTAATTCTACGGTGGCTGCTAGGCGATATTTTGAGGAGGTGACTTGGAAAGATACCGTGTCATGGAATTCACTGATTTCGGGTTATTCAAGGAAAGCAGATGCTTTTGAAAGCCTGAGGCTCTTTTGTCGAATGGTTTTGGAAGGTGTGGGTCCTGATCAAGTAACTCTTGTGGCTGTGCTTGGAGCTTGTGATCAAATCACAGCCTTGCAATTCAGTATGTCTGTTCACTCTTACATAATCAAGCAAGGGTTTGGTGCAAATTCTATGGTGGGAACTGCCCTTATAGACACATATTCGAAGTGCGGAAGTTTAGCATGTTCGTGTCGTGTTTTTGATGAGATGCCTGTCAAGACTTTGGTTTCTTGGAGTGCATTGGTTGCAGCGTATGGACTTCATGGGAAAGGAAGAGAGGCCCTCTTGATTTTTAATGATATGATAGTGAACAGTATTACTCCAGATGAGGGTGTTTTTACTTCGGTTTTGACAGCATGTAGTCATGCCGGATTAGTTGGTGAAGGTAAAGAAATATTTTATAGTATGAAAGAAAAGTATAATGTGCAGCCTGGACTTGCTCATTATTCATGTTTGGTAGATCTTCTTGGCCGAGCAGGGCATTTAGATGAAGCCTTTGAATTCATCAAGGCAATGGAAATTAAACCAACAAGTGATATATGGGCTGCTCTTCTTTCCGCTTGTCGACTCCATCGAAATGTTGAGCTAGCTGAGCTTTCAGCTCAGAGAGTTTTTGAGATGAACCCAAAAAGAGTGAGTAGTTATGTATGCCTGTCCAATTTATATGCTGCTGAGAAAAGATGGGATGAGGTGGAAAGGGTGAGAGCCTTGGTAAGACGGAAGGGACTGAAGAAACCACCAGGCTTCAGCTTTATAGAGTTGGATAAGGTGGTTCATAGGTTCTTAGTTGGAGATAAGTCGCACCAACAGAAAGATGACATATACGCCAAGTTAAAAGAGTTGAGTCAGAGACTCAAGGAGGCTGGATATAAACCTGACACAAGTTCAGTGTTGTATGATGTTGAAGAGGAAGTTAAAGAAAAGATGCTTTGGGATCATAGCGAGAGATTGGCGATTGCGTTTGCTCTGATTCATACGAGGCCAGGGACCATAATTAGGATCACCAAGAACCTTCGAGTATGTGGGGATTGCCACACGGTATCAAAACTCATTTCTAAGCTCATGTGCCGGGAGATTATTATGCGGGATATCCGTAGGTTCCACTATTTTAGAGATGGATTTTGTTCTTGTGGTGATTATTGGTGAGTAAATACTTGACTGAACTTATATGTGTATTGAGCTAGAAGGGGAAATACAGATTCTTTTATTCAAAAAAAAAAAATCTGAATTTATTCAGACATAGCTACAGGAGAGGCCATTCTATTTAGCATCAAAAGTCTGGGAGCCTTTTTTGAATCTTTGAAAATTGCATACAGAGGTGGTCTTGTCAATCAAATTATCCGAGAAATCAGCAAGGGCACCTCCAACACTAGTAACTGTTTCTTAATTGAATGTGAATGGTTCAGTTGCTTTGAGAAGATGCTTGGTTGGACTTTTTGGTTTTGACTGCTCCAAGGGATCTACAGAATTCTTGGATCTGTACAGTAATCCTGAGGAGAAAAGGAATGAAGTGAAGAAAGAAGAAGATTTTTATCACCTTCACTATCTAAGCATGTACCATTTTGAGCTTTTATTCCTCAATTTTGACAGGCCACCTCTGTTGACACCACTTGGCCTGGCACTCAAAAAGAATTTGATTATAAGCTGCACGATCATATCTTGAAAGTTCATTTTCACCTATAACTTCAATGTAACCCTCCAGCCACCATTCATGACCTGCACATAAACATGTAGCACCCAGTTTCTCATATTGTGAAGGGCATACTTGGGGGAAGTTGTCAAAAGGCCTGGGTTTTATAAGGACCCAGATTTACGTTTCTCGCAACTTCTAAATGTAGGCAAATGGCATTAATGTCTGGATTACATCTTTGATATGAGTTAATACCCATCTCCATCTTTCAAATTGTAAAATCTTCACCACCACTATTGTCTTTATACCAAAGGATTCCTGATACCTATACTGACAATGAAATGCGATCTATTTAATTGCTGGGAAATGGGATATACTTGTGAATAGGAATGGCAACGGGGCGGGGCGGGGCCGGGGATCACACTCCCCGTCCCTGATCCCCGATGATGAAAATACCCCCATCCCCGACCCCGATCCCCGACGGGGAACCCATAACCGCCCCCATCCCCGTCCCCTAGTGGGGATCGGGTTTCCCCGACCCCGAAATTCCCCGACCAAAAAATTAAAAACCTTGATCAACATGTTCATCAACAAACAGAGAGAGAGAGAGGGATTTTCAACAACAGATCAACAAACAGATCTAACACAGATCAACATGTTCATCTTCATCTTCATCATTTTCAGATCTGAAGAACAAAATCAATAAATAGATAACAAAATCAAAACAACAGAGAGAGAGAGAGAGGATGAGATACCGTGAGAGAGAGAGAGAGAGAGAGACAAGGAGATACCGTGAGAGGGAGAGAGGAGGAGCTGCGATGAGGAACGACGGTGAGGGAGGAGCCGTCTCCGACATGGTGAGAGACGGTGCGGTGAGCGGCGGTGCGGTGAGAGACGGTGCTGTGAGAGAAAGAGAAGAAGAATGGAGGTGCGATGAGAGGAGACACCATGAGGGGCTGCGGTGAGGAACAGATGAGAGAGAGTGAGAAGATGTGTGTGTGTGGGTTGCGTCTGCCAACAGCCCAAACCCTACACACACTCACACATATATTATATATAAAAGGGGCAATATAGTAATTTTACATCGGGGATTCAACGGGGCGGGATCGGGGACGGGGTCGGGCCGGGTCCGGGGCTGAAATATGTATCCCCGTCCCCGGCCCGAATATCATCGGGGATTTAATTTTTAATACCATCCCCGGCCCGTTGGGGGTATTTTTCGGGGAATAACCGCTCAATTCGGGGTCGGGGGATCGGGTCCCCGTCGGGCCGAGTTCCAATTGCCATCCCTACTTGCGAATCCGGATCCTCGGTCGCCCTTGTCTGCAGCCTTTCCCTGTAGTGCCCCAAAATGACGTCGTTTTGGGGCAGCTTTTCAATGAATAAAAAAAAAAACAAAACAAAAACAGAACTGAACTGAACTCAGAAAGGGGGAGAAGAAAGAAAGGGGAGGGAGATGAAGACCACAAACACAAATTCCTCTCACTTCGCCATCGTTGCCTCTACCCACCTTCCCTTCCTCTTCTCTCATTCCTGTTTCTTCTTCCTCCGACGAAGTCCGATCACTTCTCGAGTTCAAAACCAATCGTTCACAGATCTCTCTCTCTCTCTCTCTCTTTCCACATCTCTCCAACCCACCACACCATCGTCATCTTTAATTAATTTTCTCAGCGGCTATAGATTTTCTCTCTCCCCAAACAAAAGCAAAACTGTCGAAAGAGAGAAGAGAGAGCTCAGATTCTCAGAAACAATCGGTCGACCGTGGATTCATCTATCCTTCATCTTCTTTTCTCAGTCAGTCAGGTTCTTCTTCAATCTATCTTAATTCCATGTTGAATTTATTCTCTTGAATCAGTCACTGATAATTGTTTGGTAGAGATTTTTTAATCAATTTTATGTAATTTTTTTTTTAATTTGATAAATTTTTCCTGTGAGCGTGGTTCTGGAAATGGGGATCTGTGAATTACAGGCTTCGAATAATGTTTTGATTTTTGACGTTCTCTCTCTTTCCCCTTTCTAGTATTATTATTATTTTTTATTTTGCTAGAAGATTGGCTTGTAATGTTGCGCATTTGTTCATCGATGATGTCGATAGATTCTACTTATGGCTGCCCTTGGTTATACTCTTAAAGTTTCCATCTTTTTTTAGCTTATCAGTTATAATTAGTTTTTACAATGTTCACATTCCATTTTTTTTCCTTTAATTTTTTGATGCATTGATGTCTCTGGTCTTCATCTCTCTGTTTTCTCTTTGATTTGTGTTTATGGTTTTCATCTCCCTCTCCTTTCTTTCTTCTTCCCCTTTCTGAGTTCAGTTCGGTTCTGGGTTTTTTTTTCTTGGAAAGTTGCCCGCAAAACGACGTCGTTTTGGGGCGCTACAGGGAAGGACTGCAGATAAGGGCGACCGAGGATCCAGATTCATATACTTGCATGTTGTTTCATTTACTTTAGTTGCTAAGTTGACTTTAAATGGGAAATTACAATTTAGTGAGAAGTGGGGGCAATTATTTACTAAGGGCTGTTGGGTATACCTCCTTATTGGAGTGTAGGATCCAATTGATTTATTAAAAGAGTTTAATTTGGTTTGGTATTAGTTATAATATATTTTTATATATTATATTTAATTTTGTGGAGACCCAATTCAGTTTGGAAACAACTAAGGTTTTGATAAAAAAAAACCCTAGATTCAAAATATATTATTGGCATTGTTTTTCCCAAGAAAAAAGGTGTTGTACGGGTGTTCTATATTTTTGTTTTCCAGGGTGAGCAACTGTTGATCATTATTATTGGTGAGATTAATACTTGCTTCGATGGTGTGGTTTCGGTTACTTCGTTTGGTTTGTTTTTCAGTGTTGATTTGGGATAATTATTTTGAGTCTTTTTCAACTCTGATTCTGAAGATTTTGGTTCATCTATTTGGTGATATCTTTCTTCTTATTTATTTGTGATTATTTGGAATTCACCTTAGGGTGGTTTGTGAGACCATTCGTGTCTCGTTTGTAATCGTTTGGAAACTTATTTGGTTGATAGTGGAATCGGATTTCGATCCCGTGAACATACCTCACATTGAGGAAACCACGTAAAATTATTGTGTTGTTTTGATTTAATTTTTCCACATTAGTTTTTATTCCCATTGATTGATTTACTTGTGGAAAATCTTATATTTTCCCTAACAACTGGTATCAGAGTTTACGGCTTATTTGAGTTTAATTATTTGTGTAAATCAATGGAGGAGAATGTGGGTCGCATGTCTAGCTTCAATGAAAGTAATTGGGTAACTTGGAAAACTAAAATGGAGGACCTATTATTTTGTAAAGATTTGTATGGACCCATTGAGGTTGATAGTGGCAAACTCGAGGGTATGGAAGATGATGAATGGAAGAGACTTAATCGAAAAATCGTTGGTCTTATCCGTCAATGGATTGATGATAGTGTGTTTCATCATGTTGCTATTGAAACTTCAGCACATGATTTATAGAAAAAAATTAGAAGGCCTTTATGATAGAAAATCAGCCACAAATAAAGCTTTTCTGTTTCGTAAGTTGGTTAATTTAAAATATAAAGAGGGCAGCCCTATACCAGAACATCTGAATGAAATAAAGAGTATTGTTAATCAACTTGCTTCTATGAAAATTGTTTTTGATGATGAGTTGCAGGCTTTGATGCTACTTAGTTCCTTGCCTGAAAGTTGGGAGACTTTGATTGTGACAGTTAGTAATTTGGCACCCGATGGAGTTATCGCAATAGGCCAAGTCACTAGTAGCTTGTTAAATGAAGAAACTAGAAGAAAATTAACGGGTTTCTCTCATTCAGAAGCATTCGTTGTGAGAGGCTGAAGCAAAACAAGGGGGAGAAGTAAGACTCCTCATGATCGTGATCAAAGCCGTGACAAATCAAAAGATGGTTCTTTTTCAAAGAAAGACATTGAATGCTATTATTGCCATGAGAAAGGACACATGAAGCGGGAATGTCGAAATGCCGAAAGCTCAAGAACAAGGAGAAAAGGCGTGACAAAAGTATGGATAAGAAGCAAGAAGACACAACGACAATTACTACCGATGATCTCATTGTCATTTGTGAAGATGCTTATATCAATTTTGTGGGCCAAGAGAGTAATTGGGTGATTGATTCCGCTGCTTCTTGTCATGTGACTTCTTAAGTTAATTTCTTCACTACCTACATCAAAGGAGATTATGGTTCTGTTCGAATGAGTAATGAAGGTTTGTCCAAGATTATTGGCATGGGTGATGTTTGCTTGGAAACAAATTTGGGTTACAAGTTATTGCTTAAAGATGTGAGGCATGTTCTCGACATTCGCCTCAATTTGATCTCTATTGGGAAGCTAGATGATGAAGGTTTCAACAACAAATTTGGTGATGGAATATGGAAGCTCACAAAGGGTTCTTTGGTGGTGGCTAAGTGCAAGAAGACTCATACACTTTATTCGATGCAAGGAAAAATTTGTAAAGGTGTTGTCAATGCACTTGAAGATGATACTTCTACCGAATTGTGGCACAAGCGGCTTGGCCATATGAGTGAAAAGGGGCTACAAGTTTTGTTCAAGAAAAAGCTTCTACCCGGTTTGAAAGGTACATATCTCAAAACTTGTGTTCATTGTTTGGCGAGTAAACAACATAGAGTTTCTTTTCAGAAAAATGTTACTTCTAGAAAAGAAAATGTTTTGGAGTTGATTCATTCGGATGTTTGTGGTCCTTTGAAAGTTAGAACACATAGTGGTGCACTTTATTTTGTTACTTTCATTGATAATTATTCAAGGAAAGTTTGGGCTTTTTTACTAAAAACTAAAGATCAAGTTCTAGAAGTATTTAAGCATTTTCAGGCCATGATTGAAAGAGAAACGGGGCAGAAACTGAAGTGCATCTGATCAGACAATAGTGGTAAATACATTGGGCCATTTGATGAGTAAGGTATTTGGCACCAAAAGACAATTAAGAAGACTCTTCAACAAAATGGCGTTGCCTAGAGGATGAATCGCACCATTGTGGAAAGAACAAGATGTTTGCTTTCACAAGCTAAATTGCCAAGATCCTTTTGGGGTGAGGCAATAAGGACAGCGATTGACGTGATCAATTTGTCTCATTCCTATCCTTTGAATGTTGACGTTTCAAAAAGAGTTTGGACCGGTAAAAATGTATCTTATGAGAACTTGAGAGTGTTTGGTTACCGAGCTTTTGTTCACATTTCAAAGGATGAGAGGTCCAAGCTTGATAGTAAATCAAGACAATGTATTTTTCTTGGCTATGGGTGTGATGAATTCGGGTATAGATTGTAGGATCCGGTCGACAAGAAAGTCATTCGAAGCAGTGATGTTGTGTTTCTTGAAGACCAAACAATTGAAAACTTTGGCA